AAGTGGTTGGAGAAGATAGATTTGAATAGGGGACATCATGTAGTTTGATAATATAAGTGAACAAAACAATATTGGTGGAGATAAATTAGGTATAATGTTCTCATAGTAGGCTACACAGTGAGCCGTGTAACGAGCCGCATAGTGAGCGGTATAGTGAACCGCATCACGAGCCACAGCACGAGCCGCATCACGAGCCACATCACGAGCCACATCACGAGCCGCATCACGAGCCGCATAGTGAGCCGCATAATGAGCCGCATAGTGAGCTACATATGTGTAGGTAGATATATGAGTATATATATAAAAACAAATATATAAAAACAAGTATATAAACACAAATATATAAAAACAAATATATACAAATATAATTATTCTAAAAGATATGTATATATAAATATATTTATATATGTATATATGAATATACGTTGATACTTTTCAGGATATGGAAAAGTTTATACCAAACATAAGCTGGCCAAAACATGTAGTAAAATATATAATTCGAAAGACAAGCATGAGGAGAAGGAGAGGAGTAGAAGAGGAGTAGAAGAGGAGTAGAAGAGGAGAGGAGAGGAGTAGAATAATAGTAGAAGTAAGGGTAGGAGAAGAGTAGGAGTAGGATATGGGATGAGGATAAGAGTAGGATAGGGGTAGAATAAGAGTAGGGTAAGAGGTGATGATAGGGGTAGGATAAGAGATGATGATATGGGTAGGATAAGGGTAGGATAGGAGGTGAGAATAATAGTAGGGTAATAGTAGGATAGGAGGTGAGAATAGGAGTAGGATAGGAGGTGAGAATAGGAGTAGGATAAGAGTATGATATAAGAGGAGGAGAGGAGGATGAGAGATGAGCATAGAAATAGGATAAGAGATGAGGGTAAGAGAGTAGGATAAGAATAGGGTATGAGGTGAGAGTAGGATAAGAATAGGGTATGAGGTGAGAATAGGAGTAGGATAAGAGATGGTGATGATTGGAATAAGGGAGGGATAATTGAAGAGAGGGATAAGAGATGGAGATGATTAGAATGAGAGGGATAAGAGATGGAGATGATTAGAATGAGAGGGATAATTAAT